CTCATTCAACTCCAAAATTCCAAAAACGACAAACTCCCAAGAAAGACATACTAATCAACTCCAAAATTTCCAAAAAAAGACAAACTCTCAAAAAAGATTCATTCAACTCGACAATTGTCGAAGAAAATATTCCACGAGATAACGCGAAATGGTGGCCAGGTCGGTGGGAACAGCAGAGGGTTGGAGCTCAGCCAAATTCTATCCTACAATTCGTCCAAGAGAGGATCGAAATTGGAAGAGAGAAAGTGAGACGGAGAATAGTGGGCGGTACGTCGATATTGCGGCGTCGCGACGTCCTGCGACGCGGGAATAATGGCGTCGCCGGGTGCGGATCTTCCCACGGCATTCTGCTGCTTTCCCTCTACGTTCCTCGCCGATGCGAATTACCGGAGTTTCCTTTGGTCTAGCTTCCACAGTTAATAAGGAGTACTTTCTCGGACACTTTGTGCCAACAAAATTGTACCACGATTGGTATAATATTCCTATTAGTCACTTTGTGCTGAACACATTGACCATGTATATCGCAATTTTCTACTTGAACGGTCTAGGCAGGAACTAACAATGAATAATGCCCGATATAATACAATTGGAATTGTGGAGTAATCAACTGGGATTCCCAGAGATGTGTTCAGAGAATTTTAAGAATCCGGGGAAAGATAAGTTACAGTCGGTTAGAGGAATTAACCAGCGAATTAGGGAAATTTTTGTTTAATTAATTCAGCGATGAAGGTTGAAGCAATTGTTGAAGATGTATTTAGGTTCTAATGAAATTTTGAGTCGTTGTTTATATTGTGAAGTAGCAGAAGTTAGAATATTTATTATCGATTGTAAATAATTATGTAAGATTGTAAACTTCAGGAAACGAAGGTAGGAGAACATTGATATTAAATGAAGAGTAATTATCAGATGGATATTAGACAGGTAGATAAGACAATATAACGAGAAGTTTCGTTGCAGATAAAATAAAAAGTTAATGTAAAATAAATTTGAATATAGTTTAGAATTGGGTCGATCATAACTGAAGCACATTCATAACATGATGAATGATAGTTCATAATATGTAATGTATACAATGTAATGAATATAATATAATGAATATGAAATAATGAATATGAAATAATCAATATAAGGTAATCAATATGAAATATTCAATATAAAGTAATCAATATAAGATACTCAATACAAAATAATCAGTATAAAATAATCAGTATAAAATAAATCAGTATAAAATAATCAGTATAAAATAATCAGCATGAAATAATCAGTATGAAATAATCAGTGTAAAATAAATCAGTATACAGTAATCAGTATGAAATAGTCAGTATAAAATAATCAGTATAAAATAATCAGTATAAAATAATCAGTATAAAGTAGTCAATATAAATCAGTGAATATAAAATGGTGAATATAATGCGAAATTATGTACCGAACACAAAACAATGAATACAATATAATGAATATAATATAATGACAATTACAAATAATTGAAACTGCACTGTATCGAAAGAACATGGAAGAACAAAATTGTATCTGTTCATTCAGAAAAGAGAACCATCAGGATTGTCAACCCGCAGACGAACGTGGGCCACTATCAGCTGTGAAAACAGCATTGTTTATAGACACCGTCGCACAATGAGGTGTAATTGAATCCATATTCTGCTCTGTTGTATCGAGACCCCTCGGCAGAGCTAGCGGAACGCCTCCGGACCCACAGGGGTGGTTGTACTTAACGGTTCGGAAATCGAGGGTGGCCGTCGATTTGTGGACAATTAGGGACGATACGCATGGCCCTCGGGACGAATTGAGCCCACGACCTTCTACCGGCGGCCTCTTGCTACGTTTCACCATTTTTTCCATACCCCGTTCTACCCCCATTGTCAAAATATTGAAATAAAACTATTTTTAAAAATCGAGTAGCTTCAATGGAGAAACCTCTATTACTATAATTGATAAAACTATAATGTACATATAAAAATAAACATAATTTCAATAATACATTCTGTTAATATATATTCGTGTTCGAAGAAATATTTTACAAGGAATTACATTTTGATCTGGATTCACGAAAGGGATATAATCGATATCAGCAAACAGAATGTTATTAGTGTAAAATTTACAATTTCTAACGATGATTACTAGCGAAAAAGTGTTTCATTAAGTAAAATATTCAAGAGTATAAAATGTAAAGTATTAAATAGTGAAAATTATAATCAAGTAACAATAATAATGATGAATTTAATATAATGTGAAAAATTACGGAAATGTGAAGTATTAAAATGATTGAATATAAAATAATTTCTATTATTATGCTGATAATATTTTGAATGATTGTCAAGGTTTAGAAAGGTGTAAAATATCGAAAGTATGATAGCTAAGATATAGTGTATACGTGGGCGCAACGTGAATCAATAATATCAATTTACTTAATCATATCATTATCACAACAACAAGCAGACATTCAGAGAAAACAAATGATACGTGAAATTACTCAGCGATTAGGGGATGGACTTTATCAGTTCATCGAAAGTGGTTCAAATTTTATCTACGATTGACGCAGGTGTGTTCATACACCTGCTTTTATCAACCCTTTCCCACTTGCGGCACATAAATGATGACAATGAAGAGTGATATCCTTCCGCGATTATCCGTGCTAATATTTGCCACTCGCAATGACATCTTTCGTGTCCTAGTGACACAGATATTTTCTGGAAAAACTGGGTTTGTCAATCATTCGATATGGAAATGAAAATATGTGTTAAACAATATTTATTAGAAAACAGAAACAATTGAACCGTATACTCTGATTTTCAAATTAATGAATATTTCATCGAAAATCATTCGTTAAAAGTATTCAAAACCCGGGCCCAATTTCAGAACATACGTTTTACATTCTTTATTTCTTTCAGTAGTCGATGACAATGTTTATTTGTTTTAATATCGTTTTTGTATTCGGTTCTCAGAATTTACTAAAATGAACTTTACATACTTCAAAATCTAAATTTCTCTTGACATAATTTATTGAATGATCATTCAGTTATAGCAATTGAATTAAACTTGTTGAAGAAAATACTTGATTTTATCAAAGTATTTTGCAATTGTACATATTTAAGGAGTATAAACATATATACGTGTGTGTGTGTGTTTATTAATTTATATTTAATTTATATTTATTTATATTTTTATATATATATATTTATATTTAAGAAGCAATATACATAATTGTAATTATATACATATTTACAAAGTAATATAATACATTGTAATTCTTACATATTTAAAGAGTATAAATAGCTATTAAAGAGGAAGAATGTCTAACAATTGAATATAATTCCATTTTGTACGTGTCTCTTCAAAATACGTTCCACTGTATTATACAATATGACTGAATAATGGACATTGTGAAGTATCAATGTAATAGGATTTGATCGAGCGAGCCTCGGCCTGGAATTTTCACGCTGGATTTCACCGTGAATTTTAGATACTTATCCTTATACCTTCGCGTCCCATCTCCACTGCTCCAAAACAGATGGAATCGGTCAGTAACATTACCGTTCACCTAAAAAAAAGAAAAATGTTAGTATGATGATAAATTATAAAAATAATCGTTGCGAATTTATACTTGCCCTGTGTCTATATTTTTCATTACTACTTACAAATAAATATTATTCTCTCTGAAATTCTGC